CCTGACAGCAGGGACCATTCACTGTTCCTGTCACACTTTCATCCAGGAAATGTTTTGATATTAATGAAGAAAAGCAGAGCACCTATCATGGGTGAAATGGGAATTGTCCAGACAGTGCTATAAAAACTGTATGTGTAGATACTATTGAAATTCTTGCTTTTTGCTATTGTAATGAAGCAAGTTTTCCTCAGCAGCAGATTTGAGTCCCTTGCTTCCTGAGTTGCTTCTCTGTGGTGCTAGTACAGGATGTCTCAAGTTGCAGAAAAATTACGCATTGCGTTTCTACTCTTCCATGGACCTCATCTTGGGGTAGTCTGTTGCAAATGTAATCCTTGATAAAAAGCCAAAATAAATTATAAAATAAATGTAGCTGAATAAACGTGAAGTTTCTGGAACAACTGAAATTTTTCAAGACTCCTTTTGGATATTCACATCTTAAATGAACTTGTAGTTATGGTTTGGGCCAAGTTTACAAAGCAGCATTATGGCTTTCTTTTATCTCAGTTCTCCGAATCTTTTTTCTTTTTTCCTCCTAATTCCAGCAGTTAAGTGATACAGTCCAACTTATTACTTTTTTAGAAGTATAATTTATATTTAGCTGTGCTCCCTAATTCAAGCTGCCTTCTGAACCTAATGAAAGATTTAAATCTGGAAGCTCTTTAGCTTTTAGCACATGAATTTGCCTACAAATAAAAATGTCAGCCAAACATTTATTTTCACTTAGATTCTGCTTGTATGCTTATACGCCTTGCAGATATGTATATTTGATTTTGTTGAGATATATGTGCATTTGTGTATATACGTGTACTTGTTATTGGATGGGTATGAAAATAAATTGAGCTTCATAATAGCATGTATATGAAAGCATGTGTGATTATGTTGAGGATTCAGACATGAAAACACTCCTTCGGGTGGTCATAATCTGTGATAAGGCCAAATACACAGTCCCAGTTAGCTCAGCCCTTGCTGCATTGCACAGGAGATGCTTTCTTCCCTCTAAATCTGTTTCGAAGGGCAGGCTTTTCTGAAATTCAAGCCATCTTATAATATCTGATACATTCAAAATCAGCAGTCCCTTAAAAGTGTCAAAATGAGTTCTAGGAAATTCTTTAAGACTGACATCTTGTATGAGAAAGGTGCCAGGATATTGTCCACATTTTCTTCCTTTAAAATCCGCTATGCATGCGAAGCAGAATGGACTGTTATTGGGGGGCTAAAAATCCCTGTGTGCGCCCTGGCCTCATCTGTGCCCTTCCCCTAGTCCATCTGTGCTCGTGCTGCCCTGTGCTCTTGGGTACTGGCTGTCGAGGTGTGCTGGCTTTGGTATGCTTTAAAATATTTGTTGCTCTATTTCTTGTGTATTTAAAACATCAGTGAGGGATGAAAGACAATAATCTTCCTCCCTTGTCTGCAGGGTGTTGGGTGAGTTACTGTCTTCTGAACAATAGAGCAAACATTTAACCATTGCAGTGGGCTCCTCCCCCCCCCCAAAACCAGAACACGGCATTGCCTGTGGTGCGTCAGCAAGCCTGGCCCTGTAACCAACACTTTTTTTGGTTTTCAGGCCCATGGCCAATGCTTTCAAAATGCTGCAGTCGCAATAAGCTCTAGGGTTCCTGCTCTGCAGGAAAACCAAACCCACCTCCCTCTGAAGTCATGGGACCTGGGCTGAGTAAGGCCAGAGTAAAGCTGAAAGCAGCAATTCCCAAATTGCTCTTTGCCGCATGAAGAGCCACACGTGGGATGTGGCAAGGGAAGAGGCTTTTTGGGTAAGAACTGCGGAGCCTGCATATATGTGGCATTACTGAGCAAGACTCTTGGGTCTGACTTCTGGGAAAATCATCTCTTTTTTTTTTTTTATCTGTTGTCTACTGGAGGCAGCTCTTAAACCCTTCCTCCGAGGGGGCTCTGCCCTCGTGTGGCTGCAAAGCTCTTGAAGGGGAAAAGGTACGGAGCCAGTTGTGCACCCACCCAGCAGAGCAAAAGTGCTCGCCAAGAGCAAGCTGCATCTGCAAACTAGCCAATGTGTCTCCTGGCCAGTATACGGAGGTGGTTGCTGCTGTAAGGGCTTGTCCCTAAGCAGGCACTCTCCTTTAGTACTCATTTAAATGGGACATAAGCTGAGGGAGGGGGAAATGAATGATAAAAGCACCATCAGCAAAATCTCATTTCTTTGACCTATTCTTGCTAGGTCTCATCTACACAAATACAAGAATTTGAGAGGGTGTTTATTCTTCATTGAGTAATAAAACACAACCTAGAGAGGGCATGGATATGTTCTCTAGTTCCTTTTTCTTTCCAAGGCATATATTGTAAATTCCAGCACGTCTAAAGGCAAATGTCCGTGTCATCGCTGCTTGCTCCAGTGAGCCCCCACCCAAACTATTGGAAGGCATGAGGTTTGTTCACATCGAGCTCTCTATATTTTGCTGTGGGTACTTTTTATAACTGGCACCGTGTGTTGGGTACTTCTGTGAAGTTGTGTTTTGAGCTTCTTTTTGGCTGTGTACAGGTATGAGTGGCTAGAAAGAAAATCAAGTGAGGGTTTTGTTTAGAACACCTGCAAAACTGATGGATTTCCTTGTGAGTTTGTGGGTGTTATTGAAGAACTAATAAAGACTGAAGGAACAAGGCTCTTTTAAAAACAAGACACATCACAGAAAAGTACATAATGTGCATGACAATCTGGTTATGAGTTCAATATCGAATAGCTCCAAGTTATCTCTGATTGCATGATTGAAAAAAAAGGGTGTTTCAGAAGTTTGCAGTCACTGTCTCACTGGATGTCTCCCTGATCTGATTCCCATTTAGAAGATGAGCTTACAGTCACAGGGCTCTTTCTCAAATCCGGAGCATGGTTGGTGGGTGCAACAGGAACAGACCAAGGTGTAAGCACTCCTAAAAACTGTCTAAGCCAGAAGGGAATGAAAATGATGCTTGTTATACTTCCTCAAAAGCTGATTTATGAATCCTGATCAAGGCTTTTCACGCAAAACTAAATTTTTGAAATGTAGAATGCTGTGTGTGGTGTGCACGAAACCTCAGTGCTCCACTGGCACGGGACTTTGATAAATGCTGCAAATGTTATGTGAATGCTTGCTGTTGTGGTGCTTAAAGTTATTGATCTAGTGGCTGTTGGTGTGTTAATGAAGGTGGCCCGCAGCAATGTGGGCTGTAGGAGAAAGCTGGCGTTCATCTAAGGTGGAATGTATAATTGTGTTTGGCAGATGGAGCTGTGACACTAGTGAATCTAGTGATAAACTGAATAGATTTTCCCTTTAAAGGAAGCAGCTAATGTGGCTGAAAAGGAGCTTTCGCTCTCATCGATTCATGCTGAGATCCATGTAGGGGAGGAGAGCTTAGTGCTTTGCAAGGCTCCAGCTGTTTTAAAATTCTAGGTGTTTGATATATGTGCATGCACATTATAGGTGATACCTTTTATAGAGGTGCTTGGCAAGTATTGGTTAAATATCAGAAGCTCAGGAGCTGAGGGATGGTCATGCTAACAACTCGGAGGCAGGTGTGAGAATGGGAGCACGAAAGAATGGACTTTTTAAAACCAGACTTGGTCCTCGAGACATAGAAAAAGCTGAGGAAGTGTCATGTTGGATGTAATTTTTTCTGGTGAGTTGTGTTTTTTTTTTAATTTAATTTAAAGGTAAGGGAAAGGCTGAAGTTCCACTGTTTAAATATAAGTATAGGAACAAATTTAGCCTATGTAACTAAAGCTGCTTATGCTCTTGCCAGTAATCTTGCTATGTAATTACAGGATTGTGTGCTCCATCACACATGACTTCCTAGTGCTGCCAGCTCTCACAGTTTTTGTCAGTTTCGGAATAATTGGTCCAAGAAGCAAGATATTTCATCTTGCTTAATTTCACAGGGAAAAAACAAATATTTTAGGCTTTCTTCTTGCACAGCAAAATTTAAGAACAACCCAACTGCACTCTGGAGGTTCATACGTAAAAGGCAGATGGTATTTGTGCCTCAGAAATCCTCATGGGAATTTGGTTGGAAATTTTTTATTTGGTGTCACAGCAGACCTGGGGGGGGGGTCCCCTAACCTAAATGCCTGTAACTTTCCATACCTCTGATCTTTTACGTCAGTTTTAATGGAGTTTGAACTTATCATGGATAGTCCCCGTGTTATCAAAAGTTGGGGAGGGGGTAAAGCCAAGAATCGACCCCTGGTTTTGTGCAGTTTTAGCAGGGATGCAGCATAGAAACTCGTAAAGGAATGGCGAGTTTCACAGTGACTAACAGTGCTGGTTAACATCCTGTTTTTCTGCGGTGGACCCTCTTCTGATCCAGGTTTGGGGGAGTTAACACACTTTCTGGGTTTTACGGGCTTCTATTTAGAAGGCTCTGCTTCCCTCTCGTGGTTCTGCTTGGCAAGTTCGTCCCTTCTTTTTTTTAAGCCTGACAAACCGTTTTTGTCAACCTAACTATTTTTTGGTTGATGTTATTCAAAGACTCAGTGGATAAGGAACTAGCTTGACGGTCGCACTCAAGGAGTTGTGTGCAACAGCTCGATATCTAAGGCAAGGCTGGATGAGGCTTTGAGCAACCTGGGCTAGTGGGAGGTGTCCCCACCCATGGCAGTGGAGTTGGAACTCGAGGGGCTTTAAGGTCCCTTCCAACCCAAACCATTTGATGATTCTATGAAATCCTGCTTATGAATTAAGGTAATAAAAGGCGAAGGCAAACCCAAGGAGGTTATCTGCAATTTTGAGTGCATAGAGAATGTGGGTCCAGCTTCAGTATTGACAGCTCTGGAGTGTGAAACCATCTGTTCTTCCTGCTTAAATATTAGCATGAAACTAACTGCCTACGTATGTGTAGATATTCCCTTTATTCAGCTGCAATCTGTTCAGGAAGCCAAGCTCTTGGGTATTCTTTGATGCTATGAAGCAACTGAGGAAGAATCCAGGGAAACCTAAACTAGCAACAGAGATGCATCCCTTAATCCTGGCCTCTGACCGCTGGCTTCTCTCTTTCAGCTTCCTGTTCTGTTTGGCTGTCTGAGGCTCAGACTGAATTTAAGAGAGTGGCTGAAGAAAACGTGACGTTGCCCTGTCACCACCGCCTGGGCCTCCTGGAGCAAGGAAGTCTGGATATTGAGTGGCTGCTGCACATTTCCGAAACAGTACAGAAAGCGGTAGGTTCAGCCACGATTAGCACCTGCTGAGAAAATAGTCTTATTTCTATGTTGACATCAGCAGCAGCCATTGATTTAAAGAGACTTCTTTGATCTTTGTAAGTTATTCTGGTGAAGTATGCAGTGTTTAGAAAACACAGATGATTTATTTGGAGAGATTTATAACATGCAGAAGTTATTTGCTATTCACGCATGCTGGTTTGGAACAGGTTGTGTTACAACCAAGCCTTCTTTAAACTAACGCTGTTATGTAATCAGTCATCACTGGATAGACTTCAGAATTGCCCTTCACGTTTTCAAAAATGACCTTGGATTTCATAGGTCCAGTTTTTGAAACCTTGGTTTCAGGAGAAAATATAGTAGTTTAGTACTTAATAAAAACAAGTCTGTATTAGCTTAAATTAGCTAACCAAAACGAGCCAGAATTAAAGACTGCTATTATATATTGTGACATAAATTGGTGTCTATTTTGACACTAGTTCAAATGCTCAAAAAAAATCTCTAACATGAATACAGCTTATGTATCAGTCTCAGACTTGAAATCCAGGTTTAAATTTCTACCCTGCCACAGGCTTCCTGTGTGACCCTTGGCAAGTCACTTAACCGTGCAGAACCTTAGCCTGCAGTTCCTGGAAATGCTTTGTTCCACATGGAAGTAAAATTATAACTGGCTGGTCAGTGACTGTCTCTGCTCCCCAGGTGATCACTTACTCTGGAGGCCGTGTTTATGACGACCTGAATGAGGAACAGAAAGGGCGCGTTTCCTTCACATCCAACTTCCTTGCTGGAGATGCATCCTTGCAAATCATATCCCTGCAATCCAGCGATGCGGGGAAATACATCTGTAAGGTTAAAAATGCTGGGCAGTACGAATGGGCTCGCATCACCCTGAAGGTTGTAGGTAAGGTAATTTTATTTTTCTTCCAAATAAAAAAAATTGCTAGGCTCATTTCCTGGAGAGAGATTTATTTCAGCAGGGTATAAATAAAAAGACATTTCACGATCAGGTTTTGCTGTTCGACTCCATATGTGCCTTTGCATTTTTTGGCAAAGGACAGGACACAGGAAGAGCCTAAAGAGCTGTTTTGAGGCAAGTATAATCACCTGCAAAATCATATGCACTCTTCTTTCCAAATTGTCTCTATGATCTCATCACACAAACTAAACTGATATTCTGGCTTGGCTGGCGATTGCCCTGTCCAGATCTCCTGCTGAGGATTCTGGCTGAGTTCATGACCCAGGACTCCAAACTGATCCAAGTCAGTGGAGGTGACAAGCTGCCAGGGTTAGCATTTCTCTTCCCTCATTTCAATGTACTGGTTGGCTTTTATACATACGCTGTTATCCCGTGGAAGAAGTGCTGTGGCCTGACAGATGCTGTGGGGAGAAGGAAGAAATGGAGAAGTAGGGGGAGGGAAAGATGTAGTCTAATTAGAAGAGGAACACAGTGATACAGCTCCATGGATGCAAGTATCCATGAGGCAAAGTGCCCCAGGGTATTATAATGTGTCATTTCTATGTCTGAGCTAGCCAGCTCCGCTTCTTAGACTATGAATTTGCACGCAGTTGCAGCTAAAGTCCCCCAACAAACACCACTGCTGTAATTCCTTGATGCATGCCAGTGAAGGCAGCTGTAGGAAGCAGCTGAAATGATGTACTTTTCCCAAAGAAAAGGGTTTTCAACCAAGAAAATATTCTGCTGCATTTGCATGACCTGTTTTCTGTTTCTTCTAGAAAAACCTTCCAAGCCCAAATGCTGGCTGGAAGGGGAGCTGTCGGAAGGAAAGGAAGTGTCCTTGCAGTGCCGTTCCTCCTCTGGCACCGCACCCATCTCCTACCGATGGCAGCGCATAAATGAGGAAGACGAGAGAGCTGAACATCTCCCGCCTACATCAAGAGTCAGTAAGTCAGGTCATTTCCTCTTAGAGCTCCTGGTACACCCACAGCCAGCGTGTATGTGTACATGTACAGGCATGCGCCTGCTGTTTCGATGGGGATCAATGGTGGCAGTGATGTAATGACATTACAGTACCTCTCACTGCTCCAGCTGGCCGTTGTGGTGTGCTCCTTTCCGAACAGCAAAGTGCATGAGGAGTTTGTTTAGTGTTTTGCTGAACGTTGACAGATTATCTTCTGTGGGGCATCCCTGATGGTTCTTGAACTGTTTTGTCTAGAACTTCAATTTGTTCTTCTGTGTCCTATCTACTGTTAAGGTTTCTTAGTCTCTTTTGATGAACCCTGGTGGTGTTTTTCCTGTTTCAGACATTTCTAATCCCGGGCAAGTTGTACTGAAGAATCTTACGCAGATGAGCACTGGGTTATACCAATGCATTGCCACCAACGAGGCTGGACAAGAAAGCTGTGTTGTTCAGGTGACAGTGCAGCGTAAGTATTGGCACGTAACTAATGTTCACACCACCATACGAGCAGCACCGCTGCACAGCTGTCCCATCTTGCCTGGTAAACTCTGTGCCACACCTTTGCTTTTCATACTTGAATCACATGGAGTAGATCTTACTAATTGGACTTACGGTATGCACGGCAGTCCTTGGTATAACCTGAAGTGGTTTGATTTTGAGAACGACTAATGAAATACAAGGGGAAAAAACTATGAGTTAGAGGTTCCAGAGTCTCCAGCTTTTGAGGTGCTTCTAATTGCATGAGATTATTCCCAAGTATAAAATCCCTGTGTGCAGAGTTGATCATTCTAATTTAAATTGTCTGTTGCACTTGAGACAGTAAACTGTAAAGGTAGCAGGAAAGGCTGACTTCGAAATGAACTAATGTGCAGAATAAAAAGAAACTTTAGACCCAGTTTAGTTTAATCCAGGTGTAATAAATGCTGTCCTGAACAAAATGATGATAACAAAAGTTGTCATACTAAGGGCCCATATACTCTAGGAAGTGTTTTCTCATTAACTTTGTTTTTTTGGATGAAAAATGCCTTGGACCTACAGAGTATGGTTTCCTTTCCTCCTTCCTCTCTACCCCCTCAGGTCACTTTTTTCCCCAATTGAATAATTCATTTTGTAGAGTGGATTATAATCATTTCAGGGTGAGTTAAAGGGAGAAAAAAATAAATCCTAGACTAATACATTCTGTTCTGATTTATACCCAGTGCTATAAGTTGTCGTGTGGACTAGAATCTGACCCTAGCGAGAGGTTACCAACTA